TCTAAAGGCAAGAGAGCTCATGGCACGCCGCCATATTGGATGGGTCAAACTGCTCCAGAACAAGCATCTATGTCCGTATTTTGTGCTTTAACTGTCGCAAATCACACGGGATTACCTTTTTACAACAACAGACTGAACAATAGTTTGGGTTTTTGAACATTTATATGACTTTTGTCATTGTAGAAAACGTTATTTGGTAATCAATAAAATAACAGCAGGAAGTGGTCGGTCTCATCATCTCCTGGTGTTTTTATTCACATTTTACATGTCAACACGTTATATGAGCTGTGTGTGTGTGTGTGTGTGTGTGCTGCTCGTACACAACACACTAAAACAAAAATATGTGTTATTTTAGTGAAGAGTGATTGTGTGTTTGTGGGAAAGAAAAATAAATTCAAACGAACAATTAAAAATGTTTATTAAAATATAAGATTTTGTCTTTAAATTCTTTAAAATTTACCTTTTCCTTATTTTATCTATTTTTACTCTGTGTGAAATGTTTGCTTCCTAATTTATTTAAACTGTTAGGCCTCTCTGTCTTTGTTAAACAGCATCAAAGTATTTCTGAATGAAAGCTTGTATTTTTATTTTGTTACAATGTCCTGAATCACATTTATCTGCCTTTTGTAACAAATCAAACCAGGAGAGGGACCCACCCATCCAAGATGGCGGCCGCGCAGAGGCACATCCAGTCCGTAGGTTGTCTACGTGTTTGATGTCTGTGCGACGAGCAGTGGCAGCCACGAGGAAAACAGCAGTGTGTAGTTAAAGTTTTAAAGTAACAAATAAGTGACTTCGCGCCGTTTTCACGWCCTGATCTTTGCTAAATGAGTCCGACACACGTCTGCCGTCAGAACTCTTCAGGAGCAGGTAAATAAACTGCTGACATACACGTGTACGTGTAACTGCGACTGTTAATTCACTACACGTGTGCACGCATGTGTGCGCGCGCACGTCATGCCGATTCGTCCAGATCTGTCTGCGCGTTTTCATCGGTTAATCGTTTGTGTGTTTTTCATCGGTTAATCGGTTGTGTGTTTTTCATCGGTTCATCGGTTGTGTGTTGTTCATCGGTTAATCGGTTGTGTGTTTTTCAT